GTTCCCACTAGAAGCAGGAAGAAAATACACATGCAACACCCTACACATCAAAGCAATCCCCTGCCCCCTCCCCACAGCCCCCATGCTGTCCCATTGGAGCGTCATTGGCTGAGGGACACTCATAGCACTGCCCCGACAGCCCCAGAATCTGTTCAAGACAAAACCCTCTTGCATCAGCATAAAGAGACAGAAAACAGGCTCTCTGCACGGTATTCACAAATCCTGCATCAATTCCAATCTGCAGGGGACCCAGGGACAGAAAGGCGACAGACCCTTGCTAGCAACAGATGTGTTAGCAAGGGGGCTCCTGAAACAGAACATCCAAGCTTCACTGAAGCCAGCAGCTAGCAGGCTAAAGAAGCAGGAATCTATCCACCCCTGGAAAGCAGGCCAGAATCCTGAATCATCAGGGGCAACAACTGTGCAGAGAGCAGAGAGGAGACCCCTGCAGCTTGCAGCAACTGCCAGGTATTGCCTGGTCATTTCTTGAGGCTAGGGGAAGTGAAGTCATCTGTTAAGCCCCCATCCCATTCCAGACTGGCCACCCGAGAATCTACTAGGAGACGGGCCAGAAATTTACAATGCAGAATTGTGTGAACCAGAGTGAGAGAGACAGAGACCAGGAGACAGAGAGAGAGGAGACGCCAAGTCCAGCAGAGGGAGAGAGAGACGCCTTCTAAATTTCCCACTGCTCCTCTCTGCTTGTGTTTCCACCAGACACACATGCGTGAGTGCACACACGTACCCACACATACATACACACCCACATGCATGCATGGTAGGTGCCAGACTCCTGTTGCCAGACTCTACAGGAGTGACTTGCTGGGGACAGAAGCCAAGTGGTGAAAGTGGACGGCACAGGTGCGTCATAAAGGAGCGCTAAGAGTGCAGAGAACCCTCCCGCTCCACCCTCTCCGGCACGCTTCAACATCATGACTGCTGTTGCTTGTTAATAGAGAGAAGGCACCAAGCAAGCAAAAGCCACCTTCCCTGAGCTCTGCTTCCCCTCAGCGCCAGAGCTGAGCCGCCACCAGTGCTGCCCCTGAGAGGGATCTGAGCCACCCAGTGATTGTGCGGGGGGAAGGTGAGATTTTCAGTGTGCTGCAAGCAGGTGGGCCAATTTGGGGACAAGGTCTACGAGCACAGGACACAAACGTACAAGCTGTGTGGTTTGTACCGGCCTTTCTTGCGCTTTCTCTTTTGACCCTTCCCCTTTCCTCGCTTTGATTTTCTGGAAGAAAAACAAAACAAAACAAAAAAAAAAAAACCAGAGACAGAAAGAGAGAAAGAAAACGGAAAGGGGAGGGAAGCCCCAGCCCTGTGCCTGCTGGGAGGAGGGGGAAGCACACAGTGTTGTAGCAGGTCTGTGAGGTGTTGTGTTTGTGTTCAGCCCCGCGCCACACACACTGACTGGCCTCTCCACCAGCCCCAGCACCACCACACTAGGGCCACGTATGAAGCAAAGATAAGGCCAAAGGCTGGAGTGCTGCAGAAACCCCCTTCAAAGCAAAGGCAGCTTGGACCCTCACCAGCAACAGCAGCTGTCCCAGGGGTGCCTTCCTCCTCTGAAGAGGGGCTTTCAGAGACTGGGATGGGACAGGGGCAGGGAAGGGAAGCAGAGACACAATTAAGTGCCACAAAATCCCCGTGCCTTGTAAGTGCTTTTCTGGCAACAGATCGTAAGTCCATGCTTGATGAGAGGCAACATGAATGAAGTGACTCCCTTCCCGCCTTGAATAAGGAAAACACTTGGGGAAGAGGCAGTGCTAGCACCACCCTACAGGGCAAGGGCATCCCCCACATTCCAAGGAACACGTTGTCACTCCAAAGACTCTTGCCATGCTGAGCGGCAGCGCTGGGTTAACATGTGAAAGGAGCAGGTGAGGAAGCCACCTCCTGTTAGATGCAGGGAGCATAGGCTGGGTGGGGTGGGATGGGCGCCTTGCCATGTGAGCCTCGCCACAAAGAGGGAAAGTTTGGAAGCATGTGACCACCCAGCCCTTTGCCCTGCAACCACCACCCTCACAGCAGCCGGGGGCAACCCAAGGATCCTGCTCACCTGTGGAGCAAGGGCCTGCAGCACTGGGCACCCAGCCCACCTCCCTTTGCCACCCCCGCAGCTGCACAGGCAGATCAGAGGAGTGACTCATGCAGGCAGGTGAGCTATGTTGCAGGAGGAGGAGGAGGAGGTCGTCTAACCTGAATCACCTGTTCACCCATTCTGCCTCCTGCCTGTCACTCCGCTCAGTGGTTGGGAGCCCCTGCCACCTATCTACTGGCAGCTTCCGAATTGATCACATGAATGGGGAAGGATTAAGAGCCCTGACCTAGTTAGGATGTGTGAGGGGGGAGGGGAAGGAGCCCCCTCTCAGCCAACCAAGCTGTTTTCAGTCCTCCCCACACCCTTTCCACATGGATCTGCTGGGCAGGCAAGTGGACGGAGCCAAAATACTGATCCATTTGACACTTTCTTCTTTCAAAATAATTCACTGATTGCACCTGGTTCGTAGGAGCAAGCTGGGATGCTAAAGCGCACTAAGCACCTGTCTTCATGCCCAGGAAGAGAGCTAGGGAGAAATCTAGAACCTGCTCTGTTCCTTCAGCCACACAATCACCGGGGCCAGGAATAGACATGTAAGCTGGCATAGAGAAGGGCCAGTGTTTATTGGTCGAGTGAGCCCTCGTGGCACAGCTTTTCCCTCCCTTCCCAGGTGCAGTCCACCTTGGGTGGGTAGGAGAGGGGAGATAGGGAAGAAAGAGCCGGGGAGGAACCTGAGAGTAACTGTCAGGGTATTTTGGGGGTCCTGTTCAAGCCTATTTGAGGTGACTGGCAACTGAGTGCTAGTTCCCTTCCAAATGCTCTCCTAGCTGCAAGCAAAGGGAGCATCCCAAGAACACACCAAGAGTCATGATGTGGTGGTGGTAGAAAGAGGGGAGTTTCCTTTGGGAGAGATTTCCACACCCTTGCGAAATACAGAGAGACATTAAGGGCAAGTAAACTCCAGGGTCAAGGGAGAAAGTGCATCAGACATAACAGGGACTTGAGGCCATCTCTAGTGTTCCTAGTGTAGAGAAACAGCAAGGGGGAGGTGAGGGGCTGCACACCTGGTCAGAGAAGGCAGGGACACTACAGAGTCAGAGAGGAAAGGCCTGGCTGCCTCGCCCACTCCCCATTGGCACCAGTGCTCACACAGAACCAATGCTCTCACACCATCGAACCACAGAGCCACATGGATGGGCTGCCGCTGCGCAAGTGAGTCCCAACTCAGCCTACTGGTACCATGAGCAAGACTCCAGGGATGGGTGAAAGGCTGGTAAGTGGCTACACCTATGAAGCCAACCAGAAGATGCATACTCTCTCTCTCTCAAGCGCATGTGTTCTCTCTCTGTTTCTGCTTTATCTCCCCATGCCCCAGCCCATTCTTTCCTCATTCAACTCAGTGCAGCCACATGGCAAAGATGCTGTCCCAGCAATATGCAGTTCTGCATAACCGCTCACACAAGGGGTTGCTCTTTATTTATGTACGTGTTTGTTTATGTATTTATTCATTCATTCACTCCACGTTCGTTATCATCATGGCGGTGGTCGGGATGGTGTAAAAATCATCACCCTCTGCAGGCAGGCTGTACCCTACCCCTCTTATGTCCCTAGAATGGAACCACAAGCTTGAAAGAGATTCCACCTCACCTTAAAGCCCTCAGCCAAGTTCATCCCCATCTCCTGCTAGGAGGGCTAAGATGGGTCCTTTCCCTCACCCACCCACCCAGCCCCATCACCAAGCAATGCTCATCCACATGTAGAATCACCCCTGACTTCACCAGACTTCCAGTGCCACCACCTCCTACTGCCAGCCAGCAGAGCACCCACTCAGCTAGAGGCCCTACTAGGAACCCAAACTAAGAGACTGTCTTGCTTCTGAAGGAGTCTCTGCGCAAGCTGCTGAGAAAGAAGCCAGCAAGTTCTCACCAAAGCAGCAAGAAAAAGAAAGACAGCAATTTCCAGTGATCAAAGAAACACCTGGGGAGGGGGAGAAGGGGGAGCACCTAGAATCCATTCCTGATGGACACATCAGATTCCACTGCAGAATACCCTGGGTACTCTCTGTACATCATTAGGGAACCAATTCCATGTTCAGGGTCAGGAAAGTTCCTCCCCTAGCCTGAAGTAGAGAGAACTACATCTGGATTTTTGTGCCCACCTGGAATGGATTCAGAGCTTGCCACTTAAAACCACCACCTGATAATTAAAGAAACAGCTCCTGGATTTGAGCATCTCTTGCTGACAAATGACCAAAGAGGGAAGAGGAAAAGGAAAAAGACAACCAACCACCATGAGAAAAAAAAAGGAAGAAAAGGCTCGCCACTTACTTTTCTTGCTTAGCTTTGACATCTTTCTTTGGTCTGGAAGGGAAAGACAAAGGCCTGATTAAAAGGGATCCTCCTAGAGACCCCACCAATTATATCCTCCCCTAGCCCTCCCCAGGGTCTGCAGTCACAGACAGGTTTGCTCCCCAAATCCTTGCCCCACACAAGGCAGGAACTGCAAGCACCACAGAACATGCCCAGCACCATCAATCCTGACTAAGGGACCACCCTGGAAGGCTTTTGCCCTTCCTTGGAAGCCAGTGAGCTCCCCCATGATGTATCATTTGTCCACAGGATACAACCTACCCTAACCCATCCCAGGCATTCTCCTCCAGTCACCCTGCCATCTTGAGAGTGGTAACACCTGCAGTGGAAGGACCCCCTCCCCACTAGCGCAGCTGTCTCTCTGCACACCAGTCTGGAACAGACTTGAAGTGCTAATTGGGCCAGGTCCTTAGGTTCAAGGCAGTAAAAAGACAAGGCCAAATCCCGGCAGATAGGTTTATTATGACAGCAGCCAGAGCCCTGGAGATCCCAGCACTGTTCCATTCTCACCTGCATTCACATTTACTGTGCTGTAAGAAGCTCATGTATGCTATGTGTTGACTCTGATGGGGTTTAATTCTCATGATCTGGAAGGAAAAAAACAAAGTGTCATCCTAGCCTCTAATCAGCACCTCAGAGAAGGTAAGCGACTTCTACACAAGCTAAAGAAACATTCTCAGCCCCAACTGACCCCTGGGGAGCACAGCAGAGCCTATAGAGAGTCACCAGCCACATCCCCACTGCTCCTGGGTTCAGCCCCAGGATTTCTTCTTCCAGATGTTCAGGCAGGGTAGAGCTGGTGAGGTACAGGCTTACAGCCCCACAGGCTGGTGCTGAAGTAGCAGCAGCAATGCCAGCTTTC